TGCTTTTATGTCTCCAACAACCTAGCAAAGTGCTTGGCACCTAATAGACATTCATTAACTACTTGGTAATGAATGATTAGATGTACTTAAGAGTACAAATGAATCTTCTCTAACAAAAAGACCCCAAAATACAATAGCTCAAACAAGATAAGTGCCTACTTTTTTCTTATGGAGCAGTCCATAGGTAAGAGGGTGGGTTAGGGTGAATAGATGTCCCTAGATAATTAGGTCATTGAAGGATCTGGGTTTCGTCTTGTTATTCTTCTTCCATCCTATGGTTTGTTGTGGTCAAAACTGGCTAATCATCATACTCTGCATTGGAAAAGGAGCCTGTCCATGGAAAAGGAGCCAATTGACTTGTAAGGAAGCTAACCAGTTGACAAGCTCCATACACACAATTATCATCTCACAAGTCTCTGAACCAGGAATATGGGCCAACATACACATGAGCTTTGGAAGCAGATCTTCTCAATTGAGGTTCAGATGAGACTCTAGCCCTGGTCAGCTCCTTGATTACAGTCTGTGAGAGACTCTGAATCAAGGACCCAATTAAACTGTGCCCAGATTCTTGGGCCACAAAAATTGTGAGATAATAAATGCGTGCTGTTTTAAGCTACTAATTTGGGGTAATTTGTTATGCATCAGATAGATAACTAATGTGACATCTCAATTTTCACTAAAGTGTAAGTAATTGACAAAATGAAAACTTTTAATTGTACATTAAAGGCAAATACAATTTAAAAGTATAAGGCTAATAGACAAACAACAACAAATGTTGGCGAGGATGTGGAGAAAGGGGAACCCTCCTACACTGCTGGTGGGAATGTAAATTAGTTCAAGCATTGTGGAAAGCAGTATGGAGGTTCCTCAAAAAACTCTGAATAGAAATACCATTTGACCCAGGAATTCCACTCCTAGGAATTTACCCTAAGAATGCAGCAGCCCAGTTTCAAAAAGACATATGCACCCCTATGTTTATCGCAGCACTATTTACAGTAGCCAAGAAATGGAAACAACCTAAGTGTCCATCAGTAGATGAATGGATAAAGGAGATGTGGTACATATACACAATGGAATATTATCCAGCCAAAAGAAGAAAACAAATCCTACCATTTGCAACAACATGGATGGAGCTAGAGGGTATTATGCTCAGTGAAATAACCCAGGCGGAGAAAGACAAGTATCAAATGATTTCACTCATCTGTGGAGTAAAAGAACAAAGAAAAAACTGAAGGAACAAATCAGCAGCAGAATCACAGAGCCCAAGAGTGGACTAAACAGTTACCAAAGGAAAAGGGACTGGGGAGGATGGGCGGGAAGGGAGGGAGAAGGAGGAAAAGGGGCATCGCGATTAGCATGTATAATGTGGATAATGTGTCAGGGGGGGGGGGACACGGGGAAGGCAGTATAACACAGAGGAGACAAGTAGTGACTAGCATCTTACTATGCTGATGGACAGTGACTGTAAGGGGGTATGTGGTGGGGACTTGATAATAGGGGGAGTCTAGTAACCATAATGTTGTTCATGTAATTGTACATTAATGATAGCAAAAATATATATATATAAGGCTTATACATTTTGACAATCTTCTGGATTTAGCATCATTAAAGATGTATTAAATATTAGATTTATATTTTATACGTAAACCTAATTCCTATAATCTAGAATAATCTGCTCAACAACTTCATCTTCATTGTTGGTAATCTTAGTCCTGCACCTTTTCAATCTATCTCTAGAATGCAGTTTTCTTCCAGATGTAAATATTACTAATGCTGTGAGTACTCTGAGGGAAAGTATGAGTCATATAATATCACAGTGGAAAATGGTTTGATTTTAGACTAGAGAGAATTAAAAATTTAAAGGTTTTTCTTCCAAAGGAATTGTTACATAAAGAAAAAAAGGTAGTGGGTGGCAGAAAAGTCAATACCAACACTGTTTTTATGTTTGCTTAAACACTAATAAATACATACTATAGACTAATGGAGTAAAATGCCTCAAAAAGTTTGGGAGGTGCAGAAATCGAGGCCAAATGTGAAGGCAGCTTTGGGTACTAGACCCCATGCCTCTGTTCCTTTGCTAGCCAAAACTTGATTCATGCATTCACTTAATTAGCAAGCACTTACTGACTACCACAGGGTACTGGGTGCTGAATATAAAACAAGAAGTCAGACATGGTCACTGCCTGATGCAGGTAACAATTTAGTAGGTTAGCTGACAAGTCAATAGGCAGTGGAATCTAGGGTGGTGTTGGAACTTGGGGTACAAACAGGCTACTATGGCAGCACAAAGGAAGAACATTCAACTCAAGGTGGAAATGAAGTGGTAGTTGTACCAAGAAGACATATCAGCTGAACTAGTATCAAAATGTGACCTTAAGGTAATCAGGAATTAACTGGAGGTGGGTGGTAAAGGGAAAAGAATTCTGGGATAGGGAATATCATCTATAAAGGCCCAGGAGCAAAAGAGAACCTGATATATTTGGGTGATTGGATTTTTAGTAGAGGGTAGAGTTGTGTGGCTGGAGATGATATGGAGAAGTATACAAAAGCCTTATTATTCGGGGCCAGTAGGTCACATTGTAGAGTTTGGATTTTATTTAAAGAAACCACAAGATTATTGAAGAGTTTTGACAATTTGCTTGATTTCTAAAAAAGTTAACTTTCCCAAGATGTTAAAAGCATGTAGAAACATGGAACATTTTTATATACTAGCAATAACCAGGTGGAAGACATAGCAAAAAAGAAACCCCAGTTACAATATAACAAAAACTATAAAATACTCATGGATTATCTTAATGAAAAATGTGCAAAACATATAAAAAACCATGAAGGATATAAAAGAAAATCAGAATAAATGAATATTCTTGGATATGGGGAACTCAGTATTAAAATAATTTTCTTCATGTTAATTTGTAAATTTAATGTAATTCTGCTAAAAATCTCAAATTTTTCAGGAGTATTTGATATACTGATTATTGTAAAGTTCATCTGGAAAATGAATAGGACTATAGTTTTGAAAAGAAAAAAGCTGGGAGGGTTTGTCTTGCTCCATATAAAAACATCTATAATAAAAGTACAATAATTGAAAATACATCCAGTCAAAACTTTCAGGGGTGTTGTGGGCTGAACTGTGTCCTCCAAAAAGATATGTTCATATTCTAATCCCCAGTACCTGTGAATGTGATCTTATTTGAAAATAAGGCCTTTGCAGATGTAATAATGTTAAGAGAAGGTCAAACTGAAGTAAGATGGGCCCAAATCCAATGATTAGTGTCCTTACAAGAAGAGGTAAATTTGGACATAGAGATAAGCAGAGAGAATGCCATGCAACAATAGAGGTAGAGATTAGAGTGATTTGTCTATATAAGCCAAGGAATGTCCAGGACTTCCGGTAGCCACCAGAAAGAGGAGGAGGCAAAAAGGATCGATCCTCCCCCAGAGCCTTCAGAGACAGCATGGCTCTACTGACACCTTGATTTTGGACTGCTAATCTTCCAGACTGTAAGAGAATAAATTTCTGTTGTTTTAAGCCACCCAGTTTGTGGCACTTAGTTAGAGCAGCCCTAGGAAACTAACATAAAGGGTATATGACAATGTTATATATGATAAGAGAGGGATCTCAAGTAGAAATAAATGGGTTTTATTTTTTCAGTAAGTAGAAATTAGGACAATAGGCTATTTGGAAAGAAACATTAGATTTCTATGTCACAATGGGTACTAAAATTCCAAGCAGATCACAAATCTAAAAGCAAAAACAAAACCATAAAAGTGGTAAATGAAAATGTAAGAGGATATTTTTATAACCTTGGTACAGGGAAGGATTTTCTAACCAAAACATGAAACCCAGAAGCCAGCTCTGACCATTTAAAAAAGGAAAACTGAACAAACACAATGGAAGACAACATAATCAATGTTTAAAAAAAATAGGAAGAAAATATTTGCAAGATATGTTACAGACATTGAGTTAATATCCAGAATATATACAGAGATCATACAGACTATAGGGAAGACAACAAGTAACCCGAAAGAAAATTAGGCAAACACAAAAATACAAAGGCCAATAATACATGGATACTCAACATCTTTAATAATCAAATGAGATATAAACTGAAATGAGAAAGTATTATTTGTTTAGAGTGACTCAAATTAAAAATAAGTTCTGATAATATCCAATGTTGAACAGGGTATGGTTGAAAATGCACTCTCATACAGTGAAATTTTATAACCTTTTTGGTTTGGAGAGCAATTTGGCAATGTCTATTCAGATTTAAATGTTCATACCCTTTTTTTACAGCAAATCATTTTCTAAGACTGAAGCACAAGTTCACAAAAATAAATAGGGGAAAATTACATTAAGTACCGGACATGCATTAAAAAAATCATGCAACCATTTAAAAAGAGTTAGATCTATGTATATTCTCATAAAGGTGTTTAACACATTAAATGGAAAGAGCAAGTTGCAGAATATATGTATTTTACAAATCTCAAAAATCGTACAGAACAAAAAGAAGATAATAACCAAGCTGCTAACAATGGTTATCTTGTAGAGGAAAAAATTTATTAATTCATTTATGTAACATTAAATGAATGTCTGCTGTGTGCCAGGCACTGGTCTAGGTGCAGGGGTTTCAGGAGTGAATTAAAAAAAACAAGATGAGGAAACTGTGGACATTTGTTTTCTATGATAAATATTTATGTAAAGTATGACCTTTATATTTTTGTCTCTAATAATAAATCTATTGTTTGGAAAAAAAGCTTCAGTTACTAGTGAAAAACTTTCAACAATATAAACATTTTGTTTTGTCATTCTCTTAAAATCAGTCTTATCAAATTATTTTTTAAAATGTCACTGGCATATTAAAAAATGTATTTGGTAAAATTAATGTCAAAGTACAAGTTTTTAATACTATAAAACAATTACTTTGCTCACTTTAAAAGAATACTTAAATTTTATGGTGTCTGATTTACCTATATCCCTTATGATATAATATTTTACTTACAGTTTGTGGATTAATCTCCTCCTCTCCCATAGGTTCATCCATAATTTGTTGTCCATTCTGTGAAAAGCACAGCAAGTAGAAAAGTTACCAAAACAGATCTCACATCAGTTAAAGTTAAATGAAGGCAGACAAAACAAAATCCTACAGGAATATTTTTACTCCAAAGGATTCTAATGAAGTACATAATCACCATGTAAGTATGCAGTTGCCAATGTGTAACAAGTTGTGCTTCAAAAGTTAAGTATAAAAACATTCTTCCATGGAAATGATACAATAAATGATGATTACCTTTCCAGGTGAACCCTTGAGCTTATTTTAGTAGTTAAATGCATTAGAAGTGGTCTTACTTAAACCTTACCAAACATCATTTACAATATTTTCTGTGACAAAACACATTCTAAATTCCAACTCCACTGATAATTAATCAGGCCAACTGATCAATTATTTTGGGGAAAAATTAAGCTAGATATCTATATTAAAATAGATTCCAGGTGGATTAAACATTTAAATGTCAAAAACAAAATTATGTAAAAGTATTAGAAGAAAACACAGGTGAATAATACTTGTGGGGTAAGGAGGGTAGAAATTATAAAGGGAAAAAAATGACATTTGAATTCATTAAAGTTTAAAATGTTTTCTGCCAGACACAAAATGACAAAAGACGAAGTGATCAAGAAAATAAAAGCAACACATGACAAAGGACTGGTTATCCTCAATACATGAAGAGCTTTGTTTTACAAACCTGTAAGAAAAAAATGATGAACCTCAAAAGAAATGAGCAATAAGAGAAAAAAAGTTCAGCCTTAGTACTAGTCAAAGAAATACATTTAACAGAAAGCTATTTTTGCCTTTCAAATTGGTTATGATTTACAGAGAAAAATAACAGCCAGAGCAAATATGGGCATGGGGAAAAGAGCACTCAGGACATACTGCTGGAGAAAGTGTAAATCAGCACAACCTTTCAGGAAGGCAATCTAAGTCTGTATTAAAAAAAAGAAGACACATAAAACTTGAAATGTCCTATCACTTTGACTTTTTAAAAAAACACAGACAAGTATACAAAAATGTACGTACAAGAATGCTCACCATAACTTTTTCCAAAAAGAACTCCAAATTGGAAACCTAAATTCCTAACAATAGAGAACTAGTTAAATACATTATAGTACATCTATATAATGGGATACTATGTAGTCATTAAAAATGATAAAGATGTAAACTGATTGACATGGAAAGACAGTCACATATAGTAAGTGAAAAAAGCAATTTACAAAACAGTATGGATTATAATGATCCCATTTAAAATAAATATATACATGTTTCAAAATGTATATATTTGTATGGGAAAAAACTCTGGAAGGATATACACCAAAATGTTAATTTAACAGTGGCTATCTCTGGGTGGTAGAATTTTAGAAAATTTAAATTTTTTTGTTTATTTTTGCTTATGTGAATTTTCTAATGTGTCTACAATGAATATGTATTATTTGTGTAATTAAAACAAAACAAAACAAAACAAACCAGAAGTCAGTAACACATAGTGTCTTCTCTAGTTCCTTCACTGGGAAAAGAAGTAAATGCCCCTTACCACTTGCTAATACAACAAATGTACAAGGATCTACTCTAACCATCTTTGGAGCTTTATCAACTGGGAAATAAAAGGTGTTCTACCCACTCCCCCATAGCCCACATGAGGCAGCTGCTCCAAATTTGAAGTCCTCTTTCTTACTCTCCCCATCTCTAGTTATTCATCCATTCATCCATCCATTTAATTTCATTCATGCTATGTTCTAGGCACCAAGCTGAAGATGAAAAGTTAATAAAACATGGTCTCCATTCAAGAGATCCATCCTAGAGGAAGGCACAGGTCTACGAACCCATAAAAAGGGCACCCTTCATATGCAAAAACTCATAGAGTATGTTCTTACATTAGGAATTGCCTATACAATTTTACAAAGCACAGAAATCATGCAAAAATATAGACAAGGGAGAGGCAGATATAAAATCTTTGTTTTCCTAAGACACTATCAGAGCCTACAGTATGGACTCAAAAAACTCCAGGATACAGCTTTCTTCCAAAAGCCATAGCATTTATTCTGCTGAATACTGATCATTTTATCCAAACATCCCAGACAAACCTTAAACTAGGTCTTAAGGACACTGGCTTTAGAGTCAGATCCCTAGATTCAAATTTCTGCTCTTACACTAATTGTGAAACTTTGACAAGTTATTTAAATTAGCTAAGCTTTAGTTTCTTCGTATGAAAAGTAGACATTAAAAAGTGTTATGTTCACAGGTGTTGTGAAGACTAAATGAGATAAATGATATAAAACCCTAACAAGAGTGCCTGGCACTTAGAAATGAGTTCGCTATTAATTATATCTAACATTCAATCACCCCTCTGTGGTGCACTGACCTGCTACTTGGTCTAACATGAGCTACACTTACATTTTCCATGGGAATATAATTTGAGATCCATCTGCTCCTTCCAATTTTCAGTGTATGCAAAACAAGAATCAAAACTTATAAGGCAAACTGGTACAGTAGAAACAGCATTAAACTTGGAATGGTAGGCCAGTGGTCGAGTCCTAAGTCTGCCACTTAGAAGCTTTATGGTTTGGGGCAATTTGAACATTCTCCTAGTCTATTACTTTATCTGTTCAAAAGGGGGATACTTGCCCCATCTTTATTGTTATTGTTAGGCTCAAAACTGAGATAACTCATAAGAAAGTATTTATAAACCGTAATGAGCTATACCAATGCAAACTGTTATTATTAAGGTAAGATAACTTCATGAAGATAAAATAATACTTCCATAAAGTCATTTTGATCTTAGAATCAAAAAAAGTTCAGGATTGGTAAGGGATCTTGAAGGTCTTCTGTTCCAAATAAAACATCATATACTTCAATTCTTTCTATCCCATTTTCACCTATATTTGGACACTGTCTGGACAAGAATGTACTACCTCACCAGGCAGCTTACTACACTATCTTAGAAAAAAGCACCGCTGCTAGATAAAATTCTTCATTATATAGTAAGTTGCCTCAGCCATAAATCTCCTTTAATAGGATGACTACCGTGCCTGTACTCTACCTGCAGAGTTGCAGGAAGTAAACTACAGCCTCCACGACAAATCACCCCTAGCCTGTCCTAGATAATGCAAGTTCCTTCAAACATTCCTTTTAGACAGATGAGACCATCTTCTTTTCTGAGCGTGCAGTCAATTCATCTTAAAGAGTGGTATACAGAATTGCATGCAATTAACATTCTAACCTTGATATGACTAATGCAGAGTAAAGGGCATTTTATCTCTCTTGTCCTAGATAATAAACTTTCATTAAAGCAGTTCACACATACATTATTTTTGGAATATCCACAACACATTGCTGAGTCATGAGTTTTCTGTTGATTAAATCCTTGTCTTTTATTTATACAGTAACTAAGCCCTGTATCCTCTATTCTGTACTTGTTGCTCCTAACCTCACAAATAAAGCCTTATTTTAAGTTTCTGGTTCATCTTTTCCCATATCTAATCCATTGCTACAGCCACTATAGATTGGATTCCAAATCTGCCAATTGGATTCCAAATCTGCCAATCAGCCTCTTCAGTATTTTCAGCTTCATGTAATCCATAACTTTTATAATATATTTTCTTTTCTAAACTCCTCACCCAGCTAATTAACAGTATTATACTAACCAATCTAAGAAAAAAAATAAGTAAAAACATGACCTCAAGGTATTTTATGCTCTACTTTTTGCAAAACTATCTACTTCCTTTCTGAGTTTAGTGAGGATTTAGAATTTTAAACAATTTAATTTTAAAAGCAGGAAAATATAAAAGCCAAACCTACCTACCAGTGAAGCTTTACAAAACTCTACCCAAAAAAGCACCTTTACTTCAATAAACCTTTTGTATTGTTTCATCAAAACATGAATTCAAATGTTATCTATTAGGAACAAGCATCGTTACTTCCACAGCTAAGAAGTTGCCCTTTTGAAAAATGACCCTTGGCTTCATTAGAAATTAGGTTACATGGACCATCAATCTGACCCAATATTGCAATTCCTACAGTTCCAAAAGTTCAAGGGACTTTTAAACAAGTTACCTATTAAACAAGAAAACTTATTTCTGTAATTTTAAGAAACAAACAGAAAAAATATGCGGTCTGAATCTGGCTAGTACCAGACTTAAACCCCAGTTCTGTCACTGCTGTAGTCACCTGACCCGGGGTAAGTAACTTAACATTTTGAGCCTCAGTTTCTTCATCTGTAAGATGTATATAATATCTGCCTCACAGGGATGTTGTAATTAGAAGGATCCACCAAGGATTTACTAGATGCTCAATAAATGCTACTTCCTGTCCCTTCTTTTGCTTCAATTGACTGTAATATTTACATTTTTATAGTTAAATTCTAAAGATACAATGCAATGAAGTAGTACACTAATACAGCCAATTAATTTCTCACTAAGCAGGGTAGAAAAGGTCATTCATATAAGTGGTATATCTTTATACAACGTGGCTAAAGAATGGGCATGGACAAAAAGATTTAAAAGTGAGGCAATGTATTTATCCTCTCATCCCACTGTGGTGTCTTTCAGCCAAAAAATTGCAGTTTGGCAGATTGCACATATGCAAATATTATGGGAAATACTGGAAAAGGTTAGGAAATGCTAATCATGCTTTATCTGTTAGCCTGAAATGTGTAAAAGTAGAAAATTACAATAATGTACAATATGGGTCTCATCAGAACAAATCAGATAAGGGAGACTGTTAGCTTGAGTTTCAGCAGGAATTGTTTTCATAATAACTTCTAATGTTGTAGTATAAAATCATCACTTAAGATCATCCTGGTTTAAAGAGGATGAACAAGTCAAATCAGTTATTTTGAACCAAGGTTTCAGCACTTCTAGAATATTCCTAAATATTTTAAGGAAAATTCTGAAATGTTAAAAGTAAGAATATTTTACTAATTTTAAAGAATTTCATTTTAAGCAGCCGCATTAAACATTGCTTTTGTTGTAATGGCATGTTACAATGCACATTTCCAGGTTGCTGCTTGATACCTCTGAAGAAAATACAAATTAACTTAAAAAAACATTTTGAGTTCAGCAGATCATCTTATACAACTACACTGGGACTAAAAAAATGATCTTTGATTGATAAAATGCTATCTCGAACTTAGTAGAATATATCATCTACTGACATCCTCCTACCTAGAAATGAAATGTAAATGTGAACACTGGGAGGAAAGAATTCCTCAGAGAAAACAGCCTGAAATAACAGGAAGGGAGGAGGGAAAGGACCCAGAGCCCTCATGTACTAACTGGGAGGCCCAAATTGTAGGAATGAGCAAGGACCACACTTTTTTTTTTAACCACCCTCCAAGTTCCCACAAGTTTATGTGCCTTCCAAACTCCCTGATACCAGCAGTGGTTTTCCTGCCCAAACCTTCTGCAATCAGAGTTCCATGGAGGTGCTAAGGATGAGGCATTAGAAACCTCTCTCAAACTTTACTTAAGATAGAATTAAGTTGTTCAGAATCCAAAGAATCTTCTATGCAATCACATTGAAACAATAAGAAACAAGCATTTTATATTCTTAATAAGGAATGTATATAATCCTTACCAATGTGACAGGATTAAGAATCAGCTCCTCATTTATCCTAAGGAAATATCAGAGATGTGCATAAAGACTTATGTACAGTGATATTCATCATACTCATTATACTGAAAAATAGAAAACAATCTAAATGACCAACAGGGGACTGGTTAAATAAATCATAATACAAATCTATTCATATGTAGGAACACTATGCAACGGTTAAAATCAGGGCCTCAAATAAAAATTAATGATGTAAAAATATGCTTGCAATATATTAAATTAAAAAGGGTACAAAACTACATAGCATGACCCCAATTTTGCACCCACCCTCCCAACATGTGTGCATGTAACTGACAAAACATATATTAAATCTTATCAGTAGTTACCTGGGTCATAGGATTTTCTTCTTTGTACTATATTTTTAAACTTATATGCATTTGTTACATATTATATTTATAAAGAGAAAAAACAAGCAATGTAATTAGAAAAATCTTGTTTATTTGTAATTAAGGTGTCCTTATACCTGCTTTACTATTCCTCTAGAACCTAGAGCCCTGATAGTATTCAAGACTGTTCTATTTTCTAGACTGGAGTAGGAATGGCTTCTGGTTATATTTACATTTTTAAGTTTTAGAGGACCCTTTCAGAAGTTTTTTTTTTCTGGTCTTGTGGTTGTGGACTCAGAAAATAGATAGGTTTTAGGCCTGAATCCACCTCATGTCTTTTGGAGTGTACCCCTAAGGAGAATTCTGTTTATGAAACAAGAGTATGTTAAGAATAAACAAATGAAAACACAGTAGCCAAAATTAAATCTGCATTGTGAATAGCAAGTATTAGAATTGACACTGCAGAAAACAGAATCCATGCCACAGAGGACAAACTTGAGTAAATGGGGAAAAAAAAAGATTTAAAAACTATGGAGGACAGACATAGAAATAATCTATGAATAACAGATGTTCCTAAAGAAAAAAACAGAGCAGTTTAATCAATCAAAAGTATAAGAAAACTTTCCAGTTCTGAAAAAAATACCTGAGACTGGAGACTGAGAAGGTTCAACAGAGATCATCAACACCAAGACATGTCCTGGTAAATGTTTTTAAATTTCAAGGATAAAGATAAAATCCTACAAGCATACAAGCAGAAAAAAATAGGTTATTTTCAAAGGAACTAAAATCAGATTGACCTCAGATTTCTCCTCTGTAACAATAAAATGCCAGAAGACAATGAAGTAATGACTTACAAAGATTTGAAAGGGAAAAGTCATGATCTAAGAATTTTATACCTTGTCCTAGTTTTTCATGTACAAAGGCCACAGGAAATTATTCTTAGATCTGCAAAGTCTTATAAAATTTCACCATACTGGTAGTATCTTTTTTCATAAATTGTTCAAAGGTATGTCCTAGACCATTGAAAGAAAACCAAAATAAGAACACAAGAATAGTAAGGTAGAAAAGAACTGGTGAAGTATACTGATACCAACTTAGTATCTAGAAATATACAAATAAAACAACCCCACTAAAGGAGAAAGGGTAAATAATGAAAAATATATGATGGTATAAGCATATAAACAATACAAAACTTTAGGAAAAAAGTAAGATTTGTAACTTTAGGCTAAATTAAAGTTGGACTCAAAATAAAACAGGCAGTGGAAAAGAGGACAGAAACAAAGATTTAAAATTCTTTGTCTTTCCTATAAGGATATTTAAAAACCACTATTTTTAGTCATTAGCTAATAAATAAAAATTTTGGAATTCTTTGAAAAATCATATAATAACCAAGAATTTTATTTATTTATTAGAGTCTGAATCACCAGATAAGATAACAACTGGCAAGGAATTAGTAGTACTTTAGGCAGGCATCACATTCAACCCTAACAACATGAGGTAGGTATAATTACCCCCATTTTACAGATGTAGAAACCAAGGCTCAGCAAAGTTAATTAGTGAATGGCAGAAGCAGGAATCAAACCCAGGTTTTCCCAGCTCCATAATTCTTCAACATTTCATAATCTCCTCAAACAATCCATATGTCAGAAGAAAAAAACAATAAAAAACTTAAGATGACAGTAATTCCAAAAGTAAGAATGTAAGAAATATAAAAGTATAAAGTATCTAATTAAAAGAAAGTGTCTTACTGGATATTTGATATTATTACAGAATTACTGACATTTTTGTGAATAGTTAAATGTTTTTAAAAGTATTTATCTTTTAAGAAATATAAATGTAAATATTTACATCTGAATTGATGCATCTAGGATTAGCTTCAAAACAATCCACTGGAGTCAGGTAGCGGAAGTAAGTGTATATGTGTAGATTGGGGGATTACAGATGAAACAAGATGGGTCATGAGCTGATTATCCTTGATGCTGGGTTATGGGAATATGGTGGTTCATTATACTATTCTCTCTACTCTGGTATGTGTTTGAAATGCTTGATAATAAAACCTAGTCTTAGGTTATATTTTTAAAATGCTAAAAAACCCACACAATCATTTACTGCTTTAAAGAGAAACCTGAACAGATAAGTATAGAAAAGCATGAGGAAAAAGAAAGCGTTTGTAATTTTAAGGCCAAAAATAAAAAACCTTAAGCCAATTAACAAGGTCATTTGCTTTGGGCTAAAAATACAATTAGCACTTAATATATGTAGTAATAGTAATTACTAACATTTACTGAGCAATTACCACACACCAGGCAAGTACTAAGTATTATAGATCATCTTCATGCATTTAACAACTCTGTGAGGCATTATCACTAATTTGCAAATGAGGAAATTAAGCTAAGATGGCTATGTCATGGGTATATCAAAATTTTTGAGCGCTGTATCCTCAGCCCCTAGCAAAATGACTGGCACACAGTATGTGGTCAATAAATATATGTTCATTACAAATGAAAGTCTAATATCCTGCTTAAGGCTAATAAACACCCTAAATTCAAATCCAAATTTGAGTCTAAAACCCCTACACTTAATCACATTTAAAGCTTTTAATAATGATCTTTCATAGTAAGGGTAAGATATTTATTTCCTTCTGTATATGTTTCTATTTTTCATATTTTCTACAATTAGCATGTGTTATTTTTTCAAGCAATTCATTAAAAATAATAAATGCAAAATAGCATCGAACATTTAACAACAGACTAGCCTAACCACAAAACAAGATGTTCTGGAGATGAAAACATGAAATAAATGGACACAAAATGGTCACTAATATCAACTAGCAAAATGAACAAAATAAGAACAAAGCACTTGAAGTAATTTGTATTAGAATTGATACTCAATTTTATAATGTAGAAGTTTATGGGTTCCTTGCAAGTATCTATGAAAAGATATGAAGACTATGTTTCTAGGCCACAAAGTAAATCCACAATTCTTAAAAGCAGCAATCATACAGCTCATTTTTTCTGATTATGATAAAAATACTGAATAAAGATACTAATATACTCATTCAGAAACGAATATTCTTCCAAATAACTACTGGGTCAAGGAAATAATAACATTATCATTTATGCAATGCTTTTTTTGTTTAAAGTACAATGTTCATAATGTTACACATATTCTCTCATTTAATCCCAATCAGTCATTAATAAACCATGAGGCATGTTATTATGTAGAGAAGAAAAAAGTTGAGAGTTAATAACTTGTCCAAGATCACAGAGCTATTAAGTTTGCAGATAAGGTAAGTGAAAAGTCTGAATTCCAAACTCATACAACAAAGAAATGTTGTCATATTCCTGTTAGAATTCATGTACAAGGCATCTAGCTATGCTTATTTTTCTCTATTTATAAAATAAAAATTTGTAATTAAGAGAAAATTAGAGTTCTTACTTGACACATTTTCTGAAAATGTCCACTTGTTAAATACACCACTCTAAGAAAGTAATCGGTCATTTTTCTAACATACCATTGACCAGATACAATATTCCCAATTGCACAATCTCCTAAGAAAGAATCATTTGAATATTTTCATATTCTCAACAGGGCAATTTAAAAAGTAAGAAACCATAAAATCAGATAAATGAAGTAAGGAATATAAGGTAAACATGATTTGCCACTAAATCTATTTCTAAACAGTAGTGTGACCTTGGAAAAGTCACTGTTTTCTGGTACTTATCTGCAATCCTTAAGAGTTTGATGGGACCTTGGCCAGCATGGATTTGAAAGTGTGCTATTTACTGTGGACAAGTCCTTAAGCCTGAGCTGTGGTTTCTTCATGCATAAAATTTGTGGATATCTAATAGCTCTTTCAGCTTGAAAATGTTATAATCCTGTGACTAAGGATTAAAGTTATTTAATATTTTGTGGGGTTTTTACACCTGAGTTATATTATTGATTCTGTATTTAAAGCTGCTTTTATATTATTTTTTAAGTCTAATTTCTTCTTTCTCTTCTGCATCCAAAGCACAGCTTTATCTATATCCTACAGTAGTGCCTTTGTGCCCAAGTGTAAACAAGGATAATGCCAAAGAACGGATTGTACAAATGATGTCACCTGAAAGAGAAGTACTAAGAATAAGAAAAAACATTGCTTTTCTGTGCAGATTAAGGAAACTAGAGCAATTTTATGATTTTCACAATCCAATCTTACTATTCTAATTTTACTAGTATTGAAAAATAGTCAAGTGTCAACTTGTTTTATTTTAAGCTCCTCTATCTATTCCCAGTCCTGTTTCTGACCTTCCTTCAAAGCCCAACTCTTAGTTCTTGATGGAGTTGGTACTATTTACCAAACTTGTCTGATGATCAGAATCACCTAAGATTCCTGTTAATGATATATTACCTGGACTTACCCCAAAATGAAATTGAATCAGGAGTTCCGAAGTCCTGTGGCTTGGTATTTCATGTTTTAAAGAGGTACCTTAGATGACTCCTATGAGTAGACAAGTCTAGGAAATTACAGTGTAGAGAAAATATCATGGGCTTTGGAGCCTGATATATGTTTCAAAACTTGGCCTTATCCTTTATTTAGGTGTAAATTTGGGCAAGCTGCTTATGAATCTAAATTTTCTAATTCACAAGACTTGGATACTAGTTATGCCGTTGGTTGTGGTAAAGTTCAGTATGCCTAACCATGTTCGATGTTCAGTAAATGTTAACTTCTCTTTCCTCCTGCTCATCTTGCCAGAGGAAATGACAAATACAAATAAATACATGAGGGGATTCTGACAAGTTCCTTACCCTAATGGGTTCATTTCCATCTCTGGGGCTAAAAATCTGAGTACTACATAATTCTTGAGTGTATTCCTTGGCTCAGCTAATTTAAGTCTCAGGAACAAGTCTAATGATTTCTCCTGGTTTCCAGAGGCTTAATGAAGTCCCCCTTATCTAAAACAGATACACCATTATGATGGGCTTCAAAGCCCAACCTTTTATTTGCTATGTGATTGGCAAAATTACCTGAATCTGTTTCCTCATCGGTAAAACAAGTGGTGCTTAAACGTTTGCTGAACGGAACCCAAAATACATTATTGATGACATAACTGTTAACTAACAATCACTAAAATCATTTATATATGGTCTTACAATCATTCTTAGGAACAAAAGACAGCAATAACAGCTTGCAAGTAAGTGAAACAAGACAGAATGTGACTTGCTCAAATACAAAATATATCAGAGCTTAACATCCAAAATTCCTGTTTGTGTAGAATCAACTGTATCTTCACGTCCAGAGTTTTATACAAATTTGAAGTTGAGTTTACTCAGGGAAAAAACAATCCAAACTACTGGTTTGTTTAAAAAATATTAATGTGTGTGTGTTTGCATACACATACATACATTTAAAAAAATCATAATAGGTATAAAAACGTGAGAGCAAGGCTTATTTCTGAAAAATTCAGAATTGTAGTTTCAAATTACACTAGAATTAATAGTGATCAATTATTCTAGCTGCATATGTATTAAGTATAAACACTATAAATAAGAGCATTTTACCAAAAACTGTATTAACTGTTCAGAAAACCTATAAAACAAAAGATTTTTTTAAAAACTAAAAACCTGGAACATTCAAAACAGAAGGAAAAGTTACCCTCAATTCTAAAAAAATTTTAAAAATATCAAATCCTATTGAAAGCAATTTTAAATACCATAGCTTTTCTCTTAATTTATTCAAATTATTTTTAATGAACTA